TATGATATAAGGCAGTTGGCTCGTGTGATAAAGTAGTAGAATGTGATGAATCTGTAGTGATGCTATGAGAAGTGCTATGCGACTTACTAGATATATCAGAAAATATGGCACGATAGTAACAACGATCCTTGAGAGGGAGATCGTGCGTGGTAAATGCTAATTCTAAGTCATTTTCTTTCACAAACGCTAGATCTGTTTCTGAGATATCTAGAAGAGTGGTAATTGCAATGATGCTAGGGTCTAATGCCATTCCGAATACTTACCTGAATCGTGAAGGCCAAGGGTTCTCCACCAAATGTACTGGCAAACGAGACAACAAATGGAATGGGTTCCAAATGCAATCGATTATCTGGGTGCGCGCTATTTGTAACAACGAGCCATGCCGCCGCCTTCCGCTCAGTGTCACTTTTGAGCGGGTAGGTACACCGACCAGGTTTAGGTATGCACACACCTTCACGCCTCACTGCCTTGACCACCGGGAAGTCCCAGCCCTTGAGCCGCTGGGCGATGAGTTTTTTTACCTTCTCGGATGAGTCGCCGATACGCAAGGTAGATTCTTCAGATGACTTCGGGACTGGCCTCGAAGTTGCCGCCATTGCAGCATTGTTGACCTCCACCAACCGACCAGATAGGTTCAACGCCTTCAAAGATACGGTAAGAGTAGGGAAGTCTAGGTTTAGACCCATTTTCTGGATAGATCCCAAACCAAGAAGTATCATCGGAGATTCTGTATCCAGGAGCTTCCTTGGATACACCAATCCCTCAAGCTTACAAGCTGCACCGAAGATCGAACATTTCAGAGAGATCTTGGAGGTTAAGGTGACAGTCGCACCGATACCTTGGATAATACTAGGCCGATCTAGCGCTTGTATGCTATGCTTGACCCCGAGGCTAACGATAGTATCCTCAGGTATAAGGGTGTGAACACTGCCACTATCGAGAACGAGTAGGACCTCCCGACCGTAACTGGTAACTGGGACTGCTACCATCCTGCCGCCAGCTACGTGAAAAGCCGGGAACACGATGTCGGGATTCTCCTCGACAGA